TCTATAGGGACATGGGGGGGGGGGCATGGGGGTCTATAGGGGCCCCTGGGAGCTATAGAGGCGGGGGGGGCTATGAAGGGTGTCTGGGGGTGCGGAGGGGCCTGTTGGGGCATGTAGGGACACCTGGGGCACCCATATAGGGGCACCCATGGATGTGTGGGGCTTGGGGAGACCTCTGGGGCTTAGGGAGACGTGTGGGGTCCAGGGGGGACCCATGGGTGCTGGGGGCTGCGGGGGGGGGGCGCCCGCGCCGCTGACCCCCCCTCTCTCTGCAGACGGGTCGGGTGCTGCTGGGGGGCCCGGGCAGCTACTTCTGGCAAGGTGAGAGCAGCCCCGGCACCCAGCACCCAACACCCGGTACCTGCACCCAACACCTGCACCCAACACCGGCACCCAACACCTGCACCCAACACCCGGTACCTGCACCCAACGCCGGCACCCAACACCTGCACCCAACACCCAACACCGGCACCCAACACCTGCACCCAACACCTGCACCCAACACCCAACACCTGCACCCAACATCCAACACCTGCACCCAACACCTGCACCCAACACCCAGTACCTGCACCCAACAATGGCACCCAACACTTGCACTCAACACCCAGTACCGGCACCCAACACCAGCACCCAACACCAGCACCCAACACTTGCACTCAGCACCCAGTAACTGTACCCTCTACCAGCACAGAACATCCACACCCAACACCTGCACCCAACACCTGGTACCTGCACCCAACACCCAGTACCTGCACCCAGTACCTGCACCCAACACCCAGTACCTGTGCCCAACACCCAGTAGCTACCCCCAGCACCAGCACCCAACACCAACACCGGCACCCATCCTGCTTGGTGGGGACCTGGGCAGAGAGTCCCTGGGATGCCGGGTGTCCAGGGGTGCAGGACACCAGCTACACTGGGTGCCCACAAGTGCTGGGTGCCACAAGTGCAGGGCACAGGCACCCATGGGTGCAGGTGGTTAAGGGCACCCATGGGTGCAGGGTGCAGGTATTTGGAGGTGCAGGGCAGGTCCTGGTGCCCAGGACACCCATGGGAGAGGGCACAGGGGTGCTGGGGGCACGGGGGCACCCATGGGTGCCGATGTCTAGAGGCACATAACACCCAGGGGTGCAGGTTGCAGCTGTTTGGAAATGCAGGGCACCCATGAGTGCAGATGCCCGGGGCTCCCATGGGAGAGAGCATGGGGGTGGCGGGTGCGCGGGGGCACCCATGGGTGCTTTTTGCCCAGGACCCCCATGGGAGCAGGGCCTAGGGGTGGTGGGTGTACGGAGGCACCCACGAGTACAGGTGTCCAGGACACCCAGGCCGCAGGTATTTGGAGGTGCAGGGCACCCATGGGAGAGGGCGCAGGGGTGCATGGGGGCACCCATGGGTGCCGATATCTAGAGGCACCTAGCACCCAGGGGTGCACACTGCAGGTATCTGGAGGCGCAGGGCAGGTCCTGGTGCCCAGGACACCCACGGCAGAGGGCGCGGGGGTGGCGGGTGCGCGGGGGCACCCATGGGTGCTGCTGCGCGCAGGCCAGGTGATCTCGGCGACGCAGGAGCAGATCGAGGCCGCCGAGCACCCCGAGTACCTGATCCAGGAGGTGCCCGGGCAGCTGCAGACCCGCCAGGCGGCCGCCAGCTACGACGACAGCTACATGGGTGCGCATGGGTGCTGCGTGGGTGCACGGGGCATTGCATGGGTGCACGGGGCATTGCACGGGGGCATTGCATGGGTGCAGGATGCTGTATAGGTGCACAGGGCATTGCATGGGTGCGCGGGTGCTGCATGGGTGCAGGGGGCTGCAAGGGTGTGTGGGGGAGCTGTGTGGGTGCATGGGGCATTGCATGGGTGCACGGGGCATTGCATGGGTGCGCGGGTGCTGCAGGGGGCTGCACCTTGTGCATGGGTGCCTGGGTTGCTGAAAGGGCATCTGGAGCCGCAACGGGTGCGGCATGGGTGCCCAGAGGAAGGGGTGCTGCAGGGCTCTGCAGGGTGCTGTGTGGGGGTGCTGTTTGGGTGCAGGGGGTGGCGTGGGTGCTGCAGGGGGCTGCGCTGTGACAGGGGGCTGCATGGGCCGCTTGGGTGCTGCAGGGGGGCATGGGGTGTTGCGTGGGTGCACAGGGTTGCGTGGGTGCTGTGTGGGTGCACAGGGGGCCGCATGGGTGCAGCGGACACTGCATGGGTGCACGGGTTGCTGCAAGGATGTGGGGGTGCGTCCATAAGGGGGTGTGGGTGCTGCATGGGTGGGGGACCCGAGGATGCTCCGGGACACAGGGTGACACTGGGTGACACCGGGGGCAGCACCCGTCACCCCGTGTCCCTCTCGCACCCACAGGCTACTCGGTGGCCGTGGGCGAGTTCAGCGGGGACGAGGTCCAAGGTAGGGACGGGCACCCCTGGGTGCGGGTGTCCCTATGTGTGGGTGTCCCAGGGAGCGGGTGTCCCTGGGTGCGGGTGTCCCTGGGTGCGGGTGTCCCTGGGTGCGGGTGTCCCTATGTGTGGGTGTCCCTGGGTGCGGGTGTCCCTGGGTGCGGGTGTCCCGGGCTGCGGGTGCCGTGGGCACACGGGGCCCTGTCACCCACGTGTCACCCTGTCCCTTGGCTCCTCGCAGACTTCGTGGCCGGCGTCCCCAAGGGCAACCTCACCTACGGATACGTAAGGCGGCGGGAATGGGTGCCGTGGGATGGGTGCTGCGGGATGGGTGCTGCGGGATGGGTGCTGCGGGATGGGTGCTGTGGTGTTGGGTACTGTGAGGTTGGGTGCTGAGGGTTGGGTGCTGCAGGTTGGGTGCTGCATTTAGGGATGCTGCAGATTTTGGGGTGTTGTGTTTGGGGGTGCTGTATTTTTGGGGCGCTGCAGATTTGGGTGCTGCCCTTTCGGGCACTGCACCTTTGGGCGCTGCAGTTTGGGGTGCTGTGGCGGGGGGGCCGTAGCCAGGGTGCCCGGACGCCTGGGCCCCTGGTGAGCGGGTCCCCCCCCCAGGTCACCATCCTCAACGGCACCAACATGAGGCCCCTCTACAACTTCTCGGGGGAGCAGGTGAGGGGCTGGGTGCCCCCTGGGTGCCCCCTGGGTGCAGGGAGCCCCCATAGGGTGCAGGGTGCCCCATAGAGCCTGGGGGTGCCCTTGGGGGGGGCAGGGAGCCCCCATGGGGTGCAGGGAGCCCCATAGAGCCTGGGGGTGCCCAGAAGGTGCAGGGTGCCCCCAGGGGGTGCAGGGTGCCCCCTAAAGCCTGGGGGTGCCCTGGGGGTGCAGGGAGCCCCTGGGGGGTGCAGGGTGCCCCATAGAGCCCAGGGGTGCCCAGGGTGGGGGCAGGGAGCTCACAGGGGGTGCAGGGCCCCCCTGCAGTTTGGGGGTGCCCATGAGAGGGTGCTGGGTGCTAGAGGGGGTGCTGGGTGCTAGAGGGGGTGCAGGGCCCCCCTGCAGTTTGGGGGTGCGTGGGGAGGGTGCTGGGTGCTAGAGGGGGTGCAGGGTGCCCGGGGGGGGTGCAGGGTGCTCGCCGGGGGTGCACCCCCCCCCTGCAGCACCCTCACCCCCCCGCCCTCCAAGATGGCCTCCTACTTCGGCTACGCGGTGGCCGCCACCGACGTCAACAACGACGGGTGAGCGGGACCCCCAGCCCCGGGGTGGGGCAGGGTGACGTGGGGTGCCATGGGGTGACACGGGGTGCTGTGGGGTAACACCTGGTGCCACGGGGTGCCGTGGGGTGCCACCTGGTGACCCATAGTGCCGTAAGGTGGCACGCGGTGCCACGGGGTGCTGTGGGGTGCCACATGGTGCTGTGGGGTGCCGTGGGGTGCCACATGGTGCCATGGGGTGCCATGCGGTGCCACGCAGTGCCATGGGGTGCCATGTGGTGCTGCAGGATACCACATGGTGCTGCGGGGTGCCACTTCGTGGTGCGCGGTGCCATGGGGTACCGCGGGGTGCCGCGGGGTGCCACATGGTGCTGCGGGGTGCTGTGGGGTGCTACCTTGTGGCGCGGGGTGCCGTGGGGTGCCATGTGGTGCCACAGGGTGCCGCGGGGTGCCACATGGTGCGATGGGGTGCCACGTGGTGCCGCGGGGTGCTGCGGGGTGCTGCGGGGTGCCACATGGTGCCATGCGGTGCCATGGGGTGCCATGTGGTGCCACAGGGTGCCGCGGGATGCCACATGGTGCCATGGGGTGCCGCAGGGTGCCATGGGGTGCCACGTGGTGCCATGGGGTGCCATGGGGTGCCATGTGGTGCCACGTGGTGCCGCAGGGTGCCAGATGGTGCCATGGGGTGCCATGGGGTGCCACGTGGTGCCGCAGGGTGCCGCAGGGTGCCATGGGGTGCCACATGGTGCCATGGGGTGCCATGTGGTGCCACAGGGTGCCGCAGGGTGCCACATGGTGCCATGGGGTGCCGCAGGGTGCCACGTGGTGCCGCGGGGTGCCGCGGGGTGCCACCTCGTGGCGCGGGGAGCCGCGGGGCGCCCCGTGGTGACGCGGGGGCCGGGGTGCCCGCAGGCTGGACGACGTGCTGGTGGGCGCGCCGCTGCTCATGGAGCGGGCGGACGGGCGGCTGCAGGAGCGCGGGCGGCTCTACGTGTTCCTGCAGCCCCCCCCCGGCGCCCCCCGCCCGCCGCCCCCCGCCCAGGCCCTGCGCGGCGCCCAGGAGTTCGGGCGCTTCGGCAGCGCCATCGCCCCCCTGGGCGACCTCGACCAGGACGGCTACAACGGTGGGTGCCGCGGCGGTGCCGTGGGGTGCGTTGGGGGGGC